GCCCTAAATTGTTAAACAAAAATGAGTATTATGAGTTAGAACAGAAAGACACAAAAACAGAGTCATCAATACAAAGCACACTTTGGAAAATAGTACCCAGAATACCACAGAGGGACAGGAGAGACATTTCAAGTGATAATGGCTTAATAATTTCCTCCCCAGAACTAGAAAGTTACACCAAATACAAAACAGGATAAATAAACGCAAACCTCCCCTGGATATGCTGTCCTGACAGTGGACCGATCAATCACCTGCTCAAGAAGTAACCATAGTAACCATTAAACTGACAGTAGCCTTCCCCATACCTTTCAAAGCAACAAGATCAACCTACCACCTGCTGCCTCACTTATACTGGAAGGCACAATAAGACATTTTCACAGGAAGATGGGCAGAGTTTCCAAATAAATGCATAAGGAACAAGCGAAACACAACAGTGAACCAAACTAAATAGGCCGGGCGCAGTGGTTCATGCCTGTAATACTAGCACTCTGGGAGGGTGAGATGGGTAGATCACTTAAGCTCAGAATTTAAGTCCAGCCTGAACAAGAGTGAGATCTCATCTCTACTAAAAAACAGAAAAACTAGCCAAGTGTCGTGGCAGGTACCTACTGTCTAAGCTACTCAGGCTGAAGCAGGAGGATCACCCGAGCCCAAGAGTTTGAGGTTGCTGTGTCCTAAGATGCCACAGCACTCTACTGAGGGCAACAAAGTAAGACTCTGTCTCCAACAAACAAACAAACAAATAAAATACCCCTATACACCAGTGTTGAGAAATCTTTTTTCCTACTGAAAAAATATATACATTTTTTTTCGAGACACAGCCTCATTTTGTTGCCCTTGGTAGAGTGCCAAGGCATTATAGCTCACAGCAATCCCAAACTCCTGGGGCCCAGCAATTTTCTTGCCTTAGCCTCCCAAGTAGCTGGGACTACAGGTGCTCATCACAACACCTGGCTATTTTTAGAGATGGGGTTTCGCTCTGGCTCAGGCTGGTCTTGAACCTGTTAGCTCAAGCAATCTACCCACCTCAGCCTCCCAGAGTGCTGGGATTACAGGCATGAGCCACTGCACTTGGCCTTTCTTTTTCCTTTTTTTTGGATAGAATCTCACTTTGTTGCCCTTGGTAGAGTGCCATGGCGTCTTAGCGCACAGCAACCTCAAACTCTTGGGCTCCAGCAATTCTCTTGCCTCAGTCTCGTGAGTAGCTGGGACTACAGGCACCAGCCACAACACCTGGCTATTTTTAGAGATGGTCTCATTCTTGCTCAGGCTGGTCTAGAACCTATGAGTTCAGGCAATCTACCTGCCTCGGCCTCCAGAGGGCTAGGATTACAGGGGTGAGCCACCTCATCTGGCCAACTGTAAATATATATATATTTTTAAATATAAAATATATCCTATGACAATAACATGGAAACTAGAAAGGGCAATTCAAAGGGTTTTCAGACACTAGTGGAAGGAACTTAACCTTGTTACTTCTACAAAAAGATCAGCCATAGAACAGGTAACTTCCAAGCCAGCAGAGGAAAAGCAGCGACAGATAAGGAACTGGTAGGAAGAACGATGCCAGAACAGGCCAACTTACAAACTGCCCTTCATCGATGCCTATGACAGCTGCACCCAGGGCCTCCTGGGCCACATCGCGGAGCAGGCAGGCCGGCAGTGCCTCCATGGTGTTCCTGGGAGACAAAGAAGCCAGTGTGAGCAAGACAAGCCAGGGAGACCTGAAACCAGCACCAGGGGTCAGGGAACAGCTATGGTCTTGACCACCCGTATCTGCAACACCGGCTGCTATGCCGCCTCGCACAGCTCTGAGGTCAGTGAGGACGGGGAGGTGGCTGGAGAGTCAAGGCCCTTATTCAGAAACTAGTTATAGTAGAACCTTTGTAGTTGACCAGCACCCATAGCTGACCTGATTTTCATAGACCTGACATGCACCACACATACATATCAGTGCAGTGGGCCTAGTTCCTCATGTTGGCCACCGCCGTAGGTTAACTATTTGTCATAGTCCCTTGGGTGTCAACTTACAGAAGTTCTACTGTATTTAAAACAAGCCATTGCCCTTGATGCTTTGGACCGGAAGTCAGCCCTGTTCAATGTAAAGCTCAATAGACTCAAAAACTCTTCTCCAAATCTGTTCAGACATAGCTCATAAGGGGACTGAAAGGGCTGGTTTCTTCATCAGGTACAGTGCCCTGGGGCCCACGATACTAATAGGGGTCAGCAAAGTGCTTTTGTTTCTTTTAAAATTCCTAAGAATTGCCAGGCACAGTGGCTCACACCGATAATTCTAGCAATCTGGGAGGCTAAGGAGAGTAGATTGGCTGAGCTCACAGGTTTGAGACCAGCCTTGAGCCAGAGTGAGACTTCATCTCTAAAAAAAAAATAGCTGAGTGGGCTCGGCGCTTGTGGCTTAAGTGGCTAAGGCGCCAGCCACATACACCTGAGCTGGTGGGTTCGAATCCAGCCTGGGGCTGCCAAACATCAATGACAGTTGCAACCAAAAAATAGCCGGGTGTTGTGGTGGGCGCCTGTAGTCCCAGCTACTTGGGAGGCAGAGGCAGGAGAATCGCTTGAGCCCAGGAACTGGAGGTTGTTGTGAGCTATGATGCCACGGCACTCTACCCAGGGCAATAGCTTGAGGCTCTGTTTCCTTTTCTTTGTTTTTTTTTTTTTTTTTGAGACGGAGCCTCAAGCTATCCCCCTGGGTAGAGTGCCATGGCATCACGCTCACAGCAACCTCCAACTCAAGCGAGTCTCCTGCCTCAGCCTCCCAAGTAGCTGGGACTACAGGCGCCTGCCACAACGTCTGGCCATTTTTTGGTTGCAGCCATCATCGTTGTTTGGCGGGCCCAGGCTGGGGATTCGAACCCGCCACCTTAGGTGTATGTGGCTGGCGCCTTAGCCGCTTGAGCCACAGGCGCCAAGCTGAGGCTCTGTTTCAAAAAAAAAAAAAAGCTGGGTATTGTGGCAGGCACCTGTAGTCCCACATACTTCGGAGGCTGAGGCAAGAAAATCGCTAAGTCCAAGAGTTTGAGATTGCTGTGAGCTGTGATGCCACAGGGTGATATAGTGAGACTCTGTCTCAAAAAAAAAAAAAAAAGTCAGGTGTGGTGGCAGGTGCCCGTAGTCCCAGGTACCTAGGAGGCTGAGGCAGGAAATCACTTGAGCCCAGGAGTTAAGAGATTGCAGGGACCTATCATGATGCCATGGCACTCCAGCCAGGGAGAAAAACAAGATTCTGTTTCAAAAAAAAAAAAAGTGCACTGTGTACACCAAAGGAAACCAGTCTGCAGCCTCTGTATAGGGACAAACTCTAGAGCAGTTTCTCAATGGCAGTCACTACTGATACCTGGGGCCAGATCAATTCTTTGTTGTGGGGTCAATAGCATCCCCTGCTCCCCTAGTTGTCACAACCAGAAATATCTCCCTACATTGTCAGATGGACTATGGGGGGCAAAATTGCCCCTGTTTGAAAAACATTGGGCTAGAACCCAGTGAATGGCTGAGTCCTTGGCTACTTTGCCAGGCACCCTGGAGAGTTTGCTGATTGAACTATTCAGTACTAGGCATCACCATTATTTACCATCCCCCCTAAAGAGAGCTCTGACAGTGTGGCCTGTGCCTCCACAGGACCAAAGGTGCAGACTGACCGGTCATGTGTGCAGAAGTTGCTGCTGTAGCGAGTGTCTTTGGAATATTTGATGACCAGGCACTTGTACTGGGCAATCTGGAAGCGCTGGACCCGTCTCATCAGCTCTGTGCTGCAAGGGTAGAGGGTCTATTGAGGACCCTGGAGAAGATTGGGAGAGGAAGACCCCACAGCACAAGCTGGGCTCCCCCTTGCCCCCAGGTAGCGGGCAGCCCCAGCCCCATCAAAGTAGGGAGAGGGGGCTGGGGCAGAAAGTGCTAGGTGTAACCCTCCCAGGAATGGTCCCCAGGTGGTCCAGGAAGGATGGGAGGAGTAAGTTTCTCAGGGATAAGGTGGGGAAGGTGGCTGGAGGCAGGTGCACATGCAGATTGCATTGAAAAGTAATTTCATCACAGAATTGTTCTAAGAACTCAGAGCTTTTCTGAATTAACCTCAGAAAGGTTGAAAGCCCTTGCTGCTGGGTCCAAGAAGCACCACCCTGAAGCACTGTGGCTTTAGACTCCTCCCTGTCAAAAGCAAGTGTTTCCTCCGCCACAAAAGGAAACCGTCAAAGTCAAAGAGGGTGTACATACATGCCTGCCCCACTGGACACAACTGGACTCCCCTTCCGAGAGGCTTATGTGGAGGGTGTGCCAGCTGTGACTAGCTCCAGGGGCAGTGGTACTTTGTACAGTGTCTACAATGGGAGAGGATGACCCTGGCGGGCAGGGGCAGAGTCTTCCTCCGGGACGGCAGGAAGGAGTACCCTGGGCGGGCTCAGGGCTGCGAAAGTCCTTCCAGAGGGGGATTCTCCGAGGAGTGCAGCAGGCCTGGGAAGACGGGGGTCCCTGGGGAGAAACCTCACCCCCCCCGTCCCGCTAAGCCATTACCTTTTTCCTGAGAACATCGGCCCGAAAATCACCTAGGAGAGAATAAGTCACCTAGGAAAGGAGAGCTCCTCATGGACACCCGGACACCGGACACCACCCCGACTCCGCATCCCCAACCAACCCCCGCAGGCCCGGACACCGCCTGGCGTTCGCACCTGGATCTGCCCCCGCATCTTGCTGGGGGAGCTGGGCAGCACGGTGGGCAGGTTAACGCAGCTCATGGCGCCTCTGTGAAGCCCTCAGGACTAGGAACAATCAGCTGCTTCCTTCCGACAGTGCCGCGCTTGTTCCCGCGCTACCCGAGTTTAAGCGCCGAGCGCTGACCAATCGTGAGCCGCCGCCGCTGCGCCTCAGGGCCAATCAGCGCCTGGCCCTGGACCCGGCGGGAGATTCTACTGCAGCGGGTCCAGTCTTGGCGGACAGCCTGGAATCGCGCTGGTCCCCGGAAATGAGGCGGTGGGCGTGGCCTGGAAGGGCGTGCTCTGGCTCGAGCCCCGCCCCTCCCGCCAAGGATTAAGGGGCGGGACGCACCCCGCCTCCGCAGTAGACAACGCCATGGATGTCCCCAGTGTGGGTACCCGGGGCGAGGCTCCCTGGAAGAAGATGTCTGCAGAGGTAGGCGGGTTGCAGGGAAGAGCTGGGGTCTGGAGCCGCTGAGTTTAGCTCATTTATGACATTGGGATTCGAAGAAAGAAATTTAGGGGCCATCTAGATCACTCCTGTGGGCGGACTGAGCACCTACTTCTCACTGCACACAGATTTTGTTAGCTTGATTTTAAGGCTAGAGAAAGTTGAAGTCCTGGCTACGGCAGTATTCATAGACCCTCAGGTTAGGGATCAAAGTTCTTTTTTTTTTT